AAAATGACCTTTAATAAGGATTTATTTTTCAGTGTTGGGGATAGAAACCAAGGTCTGGTACATACTAGGCATGTGGTCTACTTTGAAACCATACTGGGGATTCTAGGCTGCTGCTCTACCACTGAGCCACACCCCAGCCCCTCCCTGGGGGATTCTAGACAGGTGCTCTACCACTGAGCCACTGGACCCCAGCCCCTCACTGGGGGATTCTAGACAGGTGCTCAACCACTGAGCCACTGGACCCCAGCCCTTCACTGGGGGATTCTAGGCAGGTGCTGTATTGCTGACCCCACCCACACTCCTCACTGGGGTTATCTATACAAGTGCAGTAGCACTGGGCTGCATCCTCAGCCCTAAGGTTTCCTTCAGCCGGGTCCTTCAGCCAAGTCCAAGTTCCTGTGACTCATTTGCATGGACTATTTGCTATTCAAGGCACAGCTCCCTTCCACCTAAGAGTGTGCTTTGTCTTGATTCATCTATTGATTTTTCTGAACCAGGGTCTCAGTTAGCTCAGGTTAGCCTTAAATGCCCTGTGTACCTTGGGCTGCCCTTAAGGTCCTGTCCTGACCATGACCCAGGGTTACAGGCATGCATTATTTAAGTGTGATGATGAGTCCATGATCAAAAAGCCATTCAAACTTCTAAAACCACATTACGAACTAGGGAGACATTTTTTACTTTATACAATTTAAAACACAAAAGGTGAATTTGTTGCCCTTTAAAATGCCTGTCTAGGCTTTTTAAAGAAAAACACTGGGTCACAAGGAGTTAAAAGAACATTGCATGGGTCTTTGGGGTGGTGGGAATGGTTTCTTGGGCTTTTGCCAAGGCATGCTCCCCCACCTTCAAGCCTCTCTTTTCCTCCCTCCATCATCCTCCATTCAATAGCTACAGCCTAAAGGAGAGACAAGGGGAGTTTTGTGGAAGACAGAAATAAATAAATAACGGCCTGCCCCAGGTCGCCACGGCAACAGTGACATCACCCTGGACCCACATGGCTGGCACCATGGGTGGCTTGCCTGGAGTTAAAGGCACAGGAGAGGATAGGGTGGCTCCTGGTGACAGGTGAATAAGCTCTTCCCTGCAGAGGGTGATGAGCTTGCCCACCTGTGGGTCTCTGTACCAATCGTCTACCCACCTTCAGACCCGCTGGTGGCAGCATCAATTGCCATTGCTTCTTGTGGGCTTTGGTAGAGCTAATAATTAACATGCCTGCTGAGACATGGGCTGGTGTCATCTGTCTGTAGGAATGGAGTAGCCGTTACTCAGTGCTTGGGTACACATACTTCACTCATACTTCTTGGAGGGCTGACTTCCAGCATCGAGGTCTGATCAGAGCTTGTCCTTTCTAGTTCTGAGGACTCCTCTTCTAGGTTCTGAATGGCTTAGTGACATGTTGCTTCCATCTGTGACATGAGGCCTGCAACTGTCTTATATGACATCCTTCTCTATATTGTTCTTTGCCTTCTGCAAAATTTTATTTGTGATACTGGAGCTTGAACCTAGGGTCTTGCATATGCTGAACCATGTGCTAGTCCCTCACTGGGGAATTCTAGGCAGGTGCTTTCCCACTGAGCCACACCCCAGCTCCTCACTGGAGGATTCTAGGCAGGTGCTCTACCACTGAGCCACACACCAGCCCCTCACTGGGGGATTCTAGGCAGGTACTTTCCCACTGAGCCACACACCAGCCCCTCACTGGGGGATTCTAGGCAGGTGCTCTACCAATGAGCCACACCCAAGCCCCTTACTGGGGGATTCCAGGCAGGTGCTCTACCACTGAGCCATATCCCAGCCCCTCACTGGGGGATTCTGGGCAGGTGCCACATCTCTAAACCTATTGCTTTGAGTCAGGACCCCACAAAATTGCCCAGGATTAGTCTCAGCCTCGCTTTATGTTTCCAGCATCTCTCAAACCTGTGACTCTCCTGTCTCAGTTTCCAAAGTAGCTTGGATAATAATAGTCCTGCACCATCAGCACTGGATGTGTGCCGGTTTTCTTTCTTTTATAAAATTTTAATTTAATTTTTTATGTATATGGGTGTCTTGTCTGCATGTTTATGTCTCAGATCCCCTGACCTGAACTTATAGACAGCTGTGAGCTGCTATATGGGTTCTGGGAATTGAACCCTGGTCCTTTGGAAGAACAGCCAGAGCTCTTAACTGCTGAGCTAACTATCCAGCCCCCCCCCAATGTCTGGTTTGCAATCTGCCCCTGCAAAGGCACTGAGATCCTGGGATGGAAAACACTGGAAGTTGGTTGTTATGGCTCAGACAGAATCCCTGCGACTTTCGGCCTGGCATCATAGCTTCCTCACCTGTCTGGTGAGCTCAGTGTTACCCTGTCCGTGTGACAGTGAGATTACATGACCGGGACTGTGTAGTCAGGGACAGATGCTGTGGAAGAGCAGTGGTCAGAGCAGTGGGTCAGGGGAGCTGACATGGTCTCTAGAGTCATCAAGGTGCCATCATAAACCAGACACAGGAGCGCCAGAACAAGCCATGGGGCCAGCACCGGATAACCTCCCTCCAGTCTTTGTCTCTGTCTTTGTAGCTGTTCCAGAAGCTAGTGTACAGAAGGCACACAATAAATACTCTGTGGACTACAATAGCAGAGAGCAAACTCATAGAAAGCCCCCATTAAAAGCTCCAGCGTATTTGCCAGCACAAATCCAGTATACCAAGTGTTCACTAAATGGTCCCTGATGTGGAAACAGCACAGACAAAGTACTCCACAAATGCTCCAGACGGTATCAGGAGAGTGCTGGCAAACAGAAGGCACTAAATGAATGTTCCAGAGACCTCACATTGATCCAGCAGGTACTCAATAAAACCTCAAAGAAGCATGACTGACCACAAAGGTCTCTGTTCTGCGCCATCGGTTGGGGGGAATGCACAGTAATAATTGAGTTTGTGTGTGTGCACACATGCATGGGGACACCAAAGGACGGATCTGTCTGTGTGTGTGCCCCTCCCCCACCCCCAACCAGTGCAGACATTATAGGAGTGTACAGCGACACCCAACTTCTTACATGAGTGCTTGGGATTCAAAGCCTGGTCCATGTGTTGTGCTGCAAGCACTTTTTCACACTGAGCATTTCCTCAGCCTGTGTAACTGTGATCTTGATGTTTTTGGGTGGCATCTGACTCCCTCTGGTGGAGGATGCAGGGAGGAAGCTCCAGGGGAAATGAGAACCTGTTCAGTCTTTGGGGCCGAGAGCCAGGTGTGTGCAGCTGTTTCCTTCTGTAGATCTGGGACACCTCTTCTTGTCCCCAAGTGTCAACCAGGCTAACTGAAGTGCCCTCCACACTCATGTTGTGGTAGAGCCAGGCTCAGAAGTCAGCTGGGCTGGGACCAAGTCTTGTGGCACCTGGTGATATCATTTCTCTGCAACAAACTATGCTGCGTGAGAATAGAGTGGAGAGGGAAACATTTCAAGGTTGCAGACACCAACGCACAAGGAATTATTGTTATTTAAATATTTATTTATTCATGAAACAGAGCTAATCTGGGACTCTCTATGTAGACCAGGCAGGCCCTGAACTCACAGAGATCCACCTTCTCTGTCTCTCTTAAGAGCTGGGATTAAAGGTGTGTGCCACAAATGTGTGTGTGTGTGTGTGTGTGTGTGTGTGTGTACACGCATGTACAGGTGTCCAAAGAGGCTAAGAGGGCATCAGATCTCCTGGGGTTCCAGGGGTTGTGGGCTTCATGATGTGGGTGTTGGGATCTGAACTTGGGTCCTCTGTGAGAGCAGTTAAGGGTTCTTAACCCCTGAGCCATCTCTAGCTCCAGGAATTCTTATTTTGAAGAGAAATTGAAGTCTAGGAATGTGGCTCAGTTGGTGGAGTGCTTGCATAGTTTGTATGAAGTCCTGGGTTCCATCCCTGGTGCTGCAAGGGTCAGGCATGGTGGTGGATGTCTGTAATCCCAGCACTCAGGATCCTCCTGCCTCTCCCCTGGTAGAAGATTATACACACCCCCCAATTACACCAGTTTATGAGGTGCTGGGGGGGTTACTCAGAGCTTTGCGCATGCTAGTAAAGCACTCAGTCAACCAAGTTGCCCCCCCAACCCTCAAACAAACATCAAGGACTAGACAGGAAACACTTCTGTAAAAGATGTTAATTACTCAGGGCTGAGGCGATGGCTCACTTGGTAAAGCACCTGCTGCATTAGCATGAGGGCCTGAGATCACGTCCCAGAACCTATGTAAAAGGCAGGTGCACATAATGACAGAACTTGCAGTGGGGAAGGTGGGGGAAGGGCTGAGGCAGGCAGATCTCCGAGGCTCATTGGCCAGAGACAGCTCTGAAATGGCAAGCTCTGGGTTCAGTGAGTGGCCTGGTCTCATAAAAAGGGGAGGAGTAAAGGAGTTGTAGGGCAGAGGCAAAGGTCCCACAAGCTGCAGTGTGTCCGCCTGGTTAGGCAAGGGACCCTGCCTGCTCTGGATGGTGGGGGAAGGGAGCGGTGTCTGCTGCTTGGGTGAAATCCAGGTCCTGTGAAAATCTGGATCCTGCCTCTGACACCAGATATTGATGTTTAATAAGGATCAGGAGAAACGAATAGGCCAAATAGATGTTTATTCAGGGAGAAATAACTTATAACATAGACAGATGAACACCAGCAGGTTCCAGGTCCCAAGGATGTCTCCGGATATTCTCCTGGCCCTGGGCTGCAAGCAAGGAAAGGTGCTCCCAGGGCCCCTTCCTTATCCTTAGTTCTCCCAGGTCCCTGTCTCCACCCCCAATGGGCGTGGTCTGTACCACGGGTGCGGACAAAGTGAATATCTCACAACAGAGGAGTGCAGTGGAGGCAGACACTCGATGTGGGCTACTGGCCTATGTGTACAAATACAAAAGCAAGCAAGTGTGCATGTATCATACAAACACATGCATACAAACACTCAGAAATGGAGATGGGGGAGCTGTGTGGGCGAAATCTGGTCTCTAGCTTCCTCATCCAGTCTTTCTGAAGCTCTTTCTGCCTCTCACTGCAGGTTTATGAATGACCGAGTCCCGGCACACAAGAGGTACCAGCCCACAGAGTATGAACATGCGGCCAACTGTGCCACCCACGCTGTGAGTTGACTTATAGGGCACTGACATGGGGACTCTTCAGGGTGGGGGTAAGGAAGGCACTCTTTTCAGTCAGTCTATTGTGTATATATTGTCTATGTGTACTTGCAGGTGAGTGCAGGTGACTATAGAGACCAGAAGAGGGCGTCAGATCCCCTGGAGCTGGAGTTACAGGCAGTTGTGAGCTGCTCAGTGTGGGTGCTGGGATTGAACCCAGGTATCCTAAAAGAGTACGGAAAGCTGGAAGTAATGGTGTATACCTTTAGTCTCAGCACTCGAGGCAGAGGCAGAGGCGAATCTCTGTGAGTTCAAGGCCAGCCTCTACATAGCCAGGGCTAGAGAAATCCTGCATTTAAAAAGAAAAAAATAGCCAGGCAGTGGTGGCGCTTGCCTTTAATCCCAGCACTTGGGAGGCAGAAGCAGGTGGAGCTCTGAGTTTGAGGCCAGCCTGGGCTACAGAGTGAGTGCCAGGATAGGTTCCAAAACTACACAGAGAAACCCTATCTCGAGAAAGAAAAAAAAAAAAAAAAAGCATTGATCACTTTTAACTGATGAGTCAGCTCCTGTTTCTCTAAAATTACTTGGGTTTTCTTTTTTTTTTTTTTTTTTTGTTTTGTTTTTTTTTTTATTTGTATGTGAGTGTGTGTGTGCATGTGTGGGAATCAGAGGACAACTTTCAGAGTCAGTTCTCCACTTGCACTGTGGTGCTCAGGGATCAAACTTAGGAGATAGACTTACATAAAATCATCTTTCGGAGTCCATCTTGTTTTCTGGATGCTGTCTCTCACTGGGACCTGGAGTTAGACTGACTGACCCTATGACCCCAGGGATCTGCCAGTTTCTGCTTCCCAATACTGGGATTCCAAGCATGGGACTCAGCTGGGGATCCGAACTCAGGTCCTCATGCTTGCCCTTTGCCGATGGGGACAACTCCTCAGTCCTTCTCAAACCACCCCATGTGACCTGTTTATCTAATTTCTCCGGGCCCCAACAGTGTGGTTTTAAAGGAACCACATGAACTGGAGAACTGTAGTTGGGTTTTTCTGTTCTGCCAGCCAGCTCCCTAATCACAACATGGAGACTTATTATCAATTATGAAAGCTCTGCTGATAGCTTAGGCTTGTTACTAACTAGCTCTAACAACTTAAATTAACCCATTTCTATCTATCTACATGTTGTCACGTGGCTTTTACCTGTCCTCCAGCATGTCTTGCTCCCTCTGATCTGCTGGTGACTCTGCCCTTCTTCCCAGCATCCTCTGTGTCTGGCTGTCCTGTCTGTACCCCCTGCCTAGCTAATGGCCATTCAGCTTTTTATTAAACCAATCAGAGTGACACATCCTCACAGTGTCACACCATTAGCCATGCTACAATGACCTATCCGTTACTCAGTTGTTGAACAGTTCCCGGTGCTCTCATGAGGAAAAGATGGAAGGTTTGGGGGAGGTAGGTCACAGATTTGTAAATGTAAAGGATTTCAGGGGTTCATTTTCTAAAACTAGATGTGGAGTGGCCTATCTGTCCTCCTGCTCTGTCTCTTCTTGAAATGGGGTCTCAGGTAGACCAGGCTAGTCTTAAATGCACTAAGGATGAATGTGAATCCCGATTCTTCATTTAGTTTCCACCTCTTGAGTGCTGGGATTACAGGTGTGCACTACTGTGCCTGCTTTATGTGGTGGTGAGGGCTTTGGGAATGATACACAAGCCTTCTACAATACAACCACAGAGCTGTACATTTCAAAAAGCTTGAAAGAGGATAGGGGATGTAGCTCAGTTGGTAGAATCCTTCCACAGTATGAGGGGGCCCTGGGTACCAACTCTAGCACTTCAGAGAAGCAAACAAACATACCTAGAGGAATTTGCAAGTTTTTACTCTAAAACAATGACAAATGTTTGTGGAGATAGCTGCCTTTGTCCTGAGTTCCGTTCCCTGCACCTGTAGCAGACAGCTCACAACAGCCTGTAACTCCAACCTCGGGGATTCTAACGCCCTCTTCTGGCCTTTGTTAGCACCCGCACTCAACGCATCCCCCCACAAACATAATTAAAAATGAATACTTATGTGGAGATAAAACTCTGCATGGAGCCTGGTGTGGTGGCACAGGCCTGTGACTCTAGCCTCTGGGAGGCTGAGACAGGAGACAGTTATGAGTTTGAGGCCAAACTGCTGAAAGATCCTGTCTCAAATAGAAAGTTCATGGTACCACATTAACATGTATAACTTTTAGAAATCTTTGAGTGTGTGATGTATGTGCAACTGTTTGTATGTGAGAATGTGTGCACACATGTGCCATGATGCAGGTGTGGAGGGCAGAGGACAAACAATTTCAGGTGTTATTTCTCACCTCTCACCTTGTTGGTCTCTGTTGGGCAGATGGAGGCCAGGCTAGCTGGCCCTTGGGTTTCTGGGCATTCTTCCATCTCACTGTAGAAATGCTGGGATTATGTGCAAGTGACGGGATTATGGACATGTGCTACTGTGTGACCCAAACCACAGGATTAAGAATTCAAAGCAGCCAGGTGTTGAGGAGGACCAGGAAAGAGAAAATAAAGAAGACAGAATGCTGAGACCAGGAGGTCTGCATGAGCTTGCCACCTCCCTCCCTTCCTCCCTCCCTTCCTTCCTCCCTCCCTCTCCTTCATTCTCTTTCTTTCCCTCCCTCCCTCTCTCCCTTCTTCTCCTTCATTTCCTTCATTTCCCTCCCTTCCTTCCTCCCTTGTCTCTCTCTCTTTCTTTTCCCAAGACAGGGTTTCTCTGTGTAGCTCTGACTGTCCTGGAACTCATTCTGTAGACCAGGCAGGCCTCAAACTCAGAGATCCACCTGCCTCTGTCTCTTAAATTCTGGAATTAAAGGTGTGTGACATCACCTCATCTTATATACTATTTCCCTGGGGTAAATGGGACAGTGTCAACAGCAACCTATCACACAGTGGGACAAAGTCAGCAGGGAGCTAATCAAGCAATGTTGCACAAAAGTTATCTCAAGTGTGTCACAGACTGAGCACATAGTGGCCTTGGGGCTGATAAGAACAGCCCTTAATTGGGGAAGAGTTCCCAGGATCTGAAGTTGCAGCTTCCCTAAGACTTGGCCCCTAGGCCATTAATGGCTCTACCAAGCATGTTTGTGGTTTTAGACAGGGAACTATGCTCCTGCTCCTTCTCCATACATCAGGGCCTCAGGAAGCCTTGAATTGACCCAGCTTCCAACAACCACGTCTGGCTTTATTTGGATTCTCAGGATCTGAACTCAGTTCCTCACATTTGCATGGCAAATGCCTTACCCACTTAGCCATCTATGCAGTCATTATGCAGGAGTTGTAATTTCTAATTGTAATGTTGTATCTATGGGTATTTTGCCTAGTTGTATGTCTATTCACTGTGTGCATGCCTGGTATCCACAGAGGCCAGAAGATGTGAACATATTCCCTAGAGCTGGAGTTACACACAGTTGTGAGCTACTGTGTGGGTGCTGGGAATTGAACCTGGGTCCTCTGGAAGAACAGCCAGTGTTCTTAACCACTGAGCTGTCTTTCAGCCCCCAATAGGTACAGTTTTTATGTCTTATGAGTCAGTTAAGGTTTTTGAAAAATGAAAATGGAACCCATTCCCACTTCTTTTAGTGGCACTGTTAGCCTTCACTTGCTTGGTGGGAACTGTGTTGTCTAGGTATTGGGCAGCATGATCTCGAGAAAGAGGGAAATCAGTGCAAAGATCTTGGGGCTCTGTACTCCCCTGGGCACTGTTCAAAAGTCTGAGCCTGTGAAGATGGCTCAGTAAAATGAGCATGAAGACCTGAGTTCAATCTCCAAGGCCTACATGGTAGGAGAGAGTTGCCTATCTATAATGTTCAGTAGTGCACTCTGGCACTAGCACACGTGCAAACACACACACACACACACACACACACACAATTAACAAAAATATTTCAAACAAATAAACAAGCAGGGTGAACAGTGCCTGAGGAATGATGCCTGACATTGACCTTTGACCTTCACATGCACGTGCAGGAAAGTGTAACAAGTCACATAGAAAGCCTGCAGTACTCCCTCCATCTCACACACAAAAGGTCAGTCTGTGGGGATGGAGAGAATGGACACCATGCGCTGCTCTTGCAGAGGACCTGAGTTTGTTTCCTTTAAGACCATGTTTAAGACAGACAGATATCTTAAAACCATCTAAAAGTCCAGCTCCTGGGGAGCCAATGTCCTCTTCTGGCTTCTACCAACTCCTGCGTTCATGTGCATCACTTCACCCCACACACATACACAAGATTAAAGACAGAACAACCCTTTAGGAACTATATCTATTTTTAAATAGGCTGGCCCTTTCTGTCTTCTCTCGTTCTAGTTCTGGATCATCCCCAGCATCCTTGGCAGCTCCAACCTCTACTTCCTGTCTGATGATGACTGGGAGACCATATCCGCCTGGATCTACGGCCTTGGCTTGTGTGGTCTCTTTGTGGTATCCACCATTTTCCACACAGTCTCCTGGAAGAAGAGCCATCTCAGGTACCCCCACCAACCCATGGAAGGGCACATGGACGTACATCACACACACACACACACACACACACACAGTCAGAGGTGTGCCAGCATTCACCTTAATGGGACTACCGAGGCGCCCCCGTAGGCGGGCGGCCTGGAAGACTGCTGCTCTGGTCCCTTGCAGGTGGACAGTCTGAGGCTAGAGGGGGGTGTCTGCAGGAGGGGGTGAGGAAATCTGTCTCTCCCACCGGGGAAGGCAAGGTTGTCCCTCGGCAGTGCCGTGGGTGCTCCCATGCTTCCCTGCTACACAGAGGCTATGACCTGCCACCTTCTCTACCGCCCTAGGATGGTAGAACACTGCCTGCACATGGTCGACCGGATGGTCATTTACTTCTTCATTGCGGCCTCCTATGCTCCTTGGTGAGTGCCAGCACCCCCCTTCGGCTCCCTTTCTCCT